TTCTCTTTATACGACAGTTTAATAATGGCATTGTCATGCTTTTGCTCTATGTTGATGACATGATCATCACTGGTGATGATACATCTGGCATAACTAATCTCAAGTCATTTCTTAGTCATCAATTTGAAACGAAGGATCTTGGACCACTTAGCTATTTCTTGGGACTAGAAGTTTCCTCATCTCCTGAAGGCTACACTCTCTCCGAAGCAAAGTATACTTATGATCTTCTTTCACGTGCTGAATTAACAAATAGAAAAATTGTCTCTGCACCTCTTGAACCAAATGTGAAGGTAACTCCCATGGACGACATTCCACTTGATGATCCTACTCACTATCGACAATTGGTTGGCAGTCTAGTATATCTCACTATTACTCGCCCTGACATAGCCTATGCAGTTCATTTAGTCAATCAGTTCATGTCAGCTCCATGCTCCACACATTATGCAATGTACTAAGCATCTTACGCTATATCAAGGGTACACATTTTCATGGCCTTCACTTTTCAGCACACTCTACACTTGATCTTTCTGACTATTCAGATGTTGATTGGGCAGGGGATCCTATTGATCGTCGCTCTACCACATATTAGTGCTTTTTTTCTTGACGACTCTCTTATATCTTGGCATAGCAAAAGACAAATTGTCACTGCCAGATCTAGTACAGAAGCAGAATATCATGCCCTCACTGACACCACTTCAGAACAACTGCGGCTTCGTTGGTTATTAATAGAGATGGGTGTCCAATATTCCACAGCCACAACCATTCATTGTGACAACCGTAGTGCAATCCAAATTGCTCACAATGTTGTTTTTCACGAGTGCACTAAACACATTGAAAATGATTGTCACTTCATTCGACAACACTTAGTTCGTGACACTGTTCGTCTCGCCTCTGTGAGCTCCATTGACCAGACTGCAGATATCTTCACTAAAGCTCAACTTCTGGATCGTTTTCATGATCTGGTTTCCAAACTCAAGTGACATCTACCATGCCACCATGAGTTTGAGGGGGGGTAGCGTGATTACGTGATTACATGATTCTAGGAACTGGATTTTTGGTTCCGCTTGATTCTTGGGAGATTTGTCTAATCTCAAAGCTGTATCCTACCTTGTATAGTCTCTGTAAACATGACTTGAATTACTCTTACTATGCAATATAATTCAGAGTTCTTTCATTCCTTTGTCTCTGATAACAATTATATTCTTTCATTTAGTTTTTAGTTAATTTAATTAAATAATTAAAAAATTATTAATAGGTCATGAGTCTAATGCTAACTCTTAAAAATACCACAAGGTGATTTTTTTTCAATATTAAACAAATTTCCCCCTCCTTTTCCAGAGTGATGTGATTCACTTCCCAAGAGTAATCCCATCTTTTCCCCATCCCATCTCATGACATCAAATTTGAGAATGTTACTTTTTCTTTTTCCTTTCCCATATCTCATAAACCAAGTGGAGCGTAAGGAAACAAGAGGCTAGAGGATATCCCGAAGGCCAAAAGTTTTGAAGTTTTGGATTCTATAGTATATAAGTGGAAGTAAGTTATAGGGAAAGATCAAATTTTGTGGAGGTTTAATTAGATCGATACATAAGTTACATATAATAAACAGATTTGGAAGAACTTGAATTTCATCTAATTAAGGTCGATAAATTCTATTTACATAAAATTTATATTATATCTACTAATGAAGATAGTTTCAGTGTTGTTTTTTACTAATGACAATTGGATCAATATCCAAATTTACATAATATTGTTTTTTTTTATTATTTCACTTATTAATAATTTTTAATTTAATTTGTTGATATTATTCAATATCCAAATTCAAATTTAATCATATCTCAATTGGAAGTATAAGATTACATTTGAATTCAAATTAAGGAATCAAAATTGTTTCTAAAAATATGTGATCAGATCTGATCCATTTATAGCCGTAGTATATTTGTTCATTATATTTTGTTGTGGATGATGGCATATGATGTCACAAGGCCCGGCACGAGACTGTAAAGTTCTTACTCCATCATCTTTGTTTATTATTCCAAGACAAAATAAATGTCTGAGAAATTGTGCATCATTAATGCCGTGTTTGGTTTATTACTTAATTTCTTATAGTTATTCTTCACAAAAGTGAAATTCTTGAGTGCGTAAAAAAGTAAGAGAATAAGGAGAGTTTACTGTGAACCATTTTTGTTTTTTTCTCCCCCAAAATAAATTATTAATGATACCATTTCCTTTTTGAGAATAATGATACCAATTTTTTTTTATGATACGATTTTGATCCATATGTCCTCATGAGGCACATATGAATTCCTAGAAAGTCATAGTAACTTTAAGGGTATGTTTGGTTTTTTAGAAAATAAGAGAGAACTCAAAAGCCGAAGAAAAGTTTTTAAGGAATTTTATGAATTATTCTTTTGGATTTCCCATAATTTTCTATTCCGTTCTAATAAAACAAACAGAGCGTGAGGATTACATATCTACATATTTTCAACACGCAAACCACAATTGAGGTATGGTTATTTTGAATATCAGGATTTCCATTCTTTATTTTTTTGATATCTTTTGAAGGGCTACTACCAGGAGGGGACCTTATTGGTAAGCATGCAGATTTCCATTCTTTTCTTGGCTTGGGCACATATATCATTCTAGCTGGAATACTGAGACTTTGAGCATGACAATTTTTTTAATGTGTGGGTCATAGTTCAAATTATATTTATTGAGTCATCATTCTTGCACATCACTGTGCCTCTTCAATTTGCATGAAATTAAAACACTTGGAAGACATATACAATTGTGACTTCTCAGTTTAGGATTAACTAATAAGACAATGAAAGTAAAATGATCGATATGGTTCTCACTTTATATGAGAGAGAAACAAATAGGAAAAAATGAAATGCAAAATTTGAACTATCAATAAGTGCAAATGAAATAAAAAAATGTATTACATAAAATATAAATAAAAAACAGATGCAAAATTTGCATTTGGTTAAGATTTATATTGCAATTTGCAAACAAACAGAGCTCTAATGCTATTTGAGCAGAGTTTATGGTTTCGGGGTTGCAGGCAAGAGAGCCGGGCTCGTCGCCCTAAAGTGTGACTGTACCCTAGCTGAAATTAGCTAGCTAGGTTGAAGGGGCGAGGTCAGTGAGAAGTGAGTAGTAAAATACTTTTTTTTTTTTTTCTCTTGAGAATCGGAACAGTTTGTAGGCTACAAAGATAGATGAAAGGGTAGGAATGTCATTTTAGAAATGAACAATTAATTAAATTTGCAGGGAAATGAAATCGAGGTCGGAAAGAAAAGACGAAGGGAAGGATAGAGGAGGAGTGGAGAATGAAACGAACGTGATCAAAACCTGTAGCCTGTAGGTTGTAGGCTGTACCGCTGTACTGTAGCATTTAGTCCCCCTCCAGGAGGCTCGGCAGTCGGCACCGGCACCTGGTCAGAAGTGCCGAATTCAAGGCCGTGGTCCCGTGGAATGGAATTAATTACTTGACCAATCCCCCTCCGCAAAATGACAAACCCATCAATTGCAAATTTGCAATCTGGAAGCCCTCACGGGCTAATCACGTTGGCGTTGTTTCCTACGACAGGTGTGCCACGGTGCCACCATTGTATTTCATTCTTACCTCCCCTACAATCACGTCACGTGCTAAATACTCGAAGCCTTCAACCGTTGCCGACTTTCCTCTCTCACCCTTCTCACACCTCAGCACTCTCACTCCTTACAACTTTCATTCAGACCTGCTTCGCACATATCACAGGCGTTGCGTCTGCTCTGCTCTACTTCTCTGATCCCTTTCCAATTTCACACGGTGGGAAAAAAATTGGGAATCCGAATCTCCTGCCCATAATAATTCTGACCACGTCTACTCAGATATCACTACCCCTTGTATAATATGAGATGTTTTCCTTGTGTGGCTGCGATCATATGTGAATATACGGGGCAAAGTTATCGTGGGTAGAAGATAAGACTCGGATATTGGTGGTGTCGCCGTACAAAAAAACAAAATAAATACAAAAATGAAACATATTGCGAAAGTGGTTGCCGGACACCTGGAGGAGGCTAATTTGATGCTAGATGCGCATTAACATCTATCAGGGCCCAATTGCCAAACCAAACAATGCGGATTATTATTTTTAAACCAAAAAAAACAAGTAATTAATCCAAAGAGATTTTCATTAAAGTATAGCAGCAGTTAAGTTAAGATATACCACTGACACTGATGGCTGCTTTTTAGTTTTTTTTTTTTCTATAATCAAAGCAAATTCAAAGCCCCCCAAGTAGCAATAACCAAAGGCCCACGTGGTTACGCCCTCTTCCTCCTATTCATGATTTGCGTTTCAAGGTTCCTGGTTCCATTTCGATCATAAGATAACCAACCAATACCAACGGTTTTATCCAATTATCCTCCGGCATTTTTCTTTTTGGCGGGGAGGTGGTTAGAGTAATAGATGGGACCCCCACCGTCTAAGCTAAGCATTCCAACTGATGATCATTAGACCTAACAGATTATAATTGCACGAAGCATCCGCCTGATTGGATAATCATTAGACCTAACAGATTTATTAAACTTCTTTTAAAAAGCTAAAACAGGAAGATTAAAAAAAGAAAAAAACAAATATTGGGTAAATGGGAATGGGATGGTATACTACTATTACTATCTACATTCTAAACAATGCACTTGGGACCCGCTGATGACAGAGACTCAGGGCTCTCTCTACTCTCTCCCTCTTTTCCATCGTTTCTATAGTGGAGGTTTTTATGATTGTCAAAATTTGAGAGGAGGTTTTTGTATTATCGGGTACTTCCTAAGTTTACTTTGTATTAATAGAATACAATATATTTTACTTTACTAACACTGGTTTAGTTTACTAGTTCGGATAAATTATATTAATTTGCCATAAATAAATTAATATAGAAGCTTTTGAGTTTTGAGTCATCGAAGTTTTCATCTTGGTCAATCAATCAAGCCAATGACAAAGAGGCAGTCTTCTTCCCTCCATCTCTTTCGTCCATACGCCCCCTCCTCCCCCTTCCTCCAACTATTTATAATCCCATCTATATCGTTCTTTCGAGTTTGGACTTGGTTCCAAACCAGACAAACAAACCACCTCATTAACCCCTTCCTTCATTCCTTAGCCCTTTCGTAATAATAGTGAAATGCTCGACACAGTAAAATACCTTCTCGGTTCGGTCGGCCCCAGCGGCTTCGGCTCCAAGTCGACGACGGAGCAGGTCACCGAAGCCTGTCCCGATCTCCGCTCCATTACCGCTATTATCACAGGTAACCCCCACTTCCCTAGTTTCATGTACATTACTCTCACGTTAACAGGCATTCTCTGTCTTTCTCCTTTTTTGTTTTTTAAACCACTTGATTTACCTGCAGGCGCCACCTCTGGGATCGGAGCTGAGACGGCACGGGTTTTAGCGAAACGTGGTGTCAGGCTTGTTCTCCCAGCTCGTAGCCTGAAAGCCGCCGAGGAAGCCAAGGCTCGTATTCTGGCTGAGTTTCCCGAGTCTCGAATCTTCGTCATGGCTCTCGATCTCAGCTCTCTTTCTTCCGTTCGAACCTTCGTTTCCGAGTTTGAATCTCTTGACTTGCCTCTTAATCTGCTCATGTGAGTCATGTCAGCACCCAAGTAAAAGAAAATTAAACTTGTTCTATTTTTTTTTCCTCTTATTATTTACTTTATTATCTGGTTCGATCGATCGAACGAACGATCTCTTTTTCTCGTTTTCAGAAACAACGCCGGGAAATTCTCCCACGAACATGCAGTCACCGAAGATGGAATCGAGATGACATTTGCCACTAACTATTTGGGTACAGGGATTAATGACAATTTCCATTTTCTTCGATTCTTTTCTTCTTTCCGTTTCCGTCACCTTCGTCTCTCCTGTTCCCTGTTCTTAGCTAATTTCTTTTGCCATTTGTAGGTCACTTTCTGTTGACTAAAATGCTACTAAAGAAGATGATTGAGACGGCAGAAGTTACAGGCATTCAAGGCCGAATAGTAAACGTGTCGTCGACGGTCCACAGCTGGTTTTCCGGTGATGCAATCCGTTATCTGGAAATTATCACCAGAAAGAAAAGGTAAGAAGGAAGTGAATCGGGAATTGTCAGATTGTCTCGTTGGATTGATTGAAGAAAATAAACAAATGGTTTTGACCTCTCTTGAAATTTGTCTCCATCTTCAGCCACTACGATGCCACACGTGCCTATGCTCTCTCGAAGCTCGCCAACGTTCTCCACACCAAGGAACTGGCACTCAGATTAAAGGTGATTATTTTATCCGAAACAAAAGAGAAATTTTGTTATTTTCTCCTTTTATTTTCGTTTTTATTAGTCTGTGACGCAGAATTAACTGAATTCGTTTGTTCTTTACTCAGAAAATGGAGGCAAATGTTACTGTGAATTGCGTTCATCCGGGGATAGTAAGAACAAGATTAACCAGAGATCGGGAAGGCCTCGTTACAGGTGAAGCGAGTTGTCAACTACATATTTTAATAATCTGATATCTAACGATATTCTAGTGTATTCCGAATTTCAAGCATTGAAAGGTTCAGTTGATAAAAATTTTCAGATCTGGTGTTCTTCTTGGCTTCGAAGCTCTTGAAAACGATTCCTCAGGTAATGCTCTTACCTTTTAACTGTTCATCGACAAACCACAGTCCCGAACTATGATGGGGAACCTATCTAATCTGATGAGGTGAATATGTATGTATTATCTTCAGGCTGCTGCGACAACTTGCTACGTGGCCACTCATCCAAGACTGGTAGATGTCTCAGGCAGGTACTTCATAGATTGTAACGAAGCTAAAAGCTCAAAACTGGGGTCGAACGCGCACGAAGCTGCAAGGCTATGGTCCGCCTCCGAAGACATGACCGCCGAGAGATTTAAAACCAATTTTTGAACCAACCGGAACCGATCTACCGAATGTGACTAGCCCAATCGGAACCGAGAGGGTCTCTATATAAGTTTAATGATCAGGTGCTTAGGGCATGCATCGGAGTTAAGACTGTTGAGCGTGTACGCCGTCTAAGTACACATAAATGAGATGATTAGTTAACTAATCAGCTTTAGATACAAGTGAAGAGGTTAATATATAATAATTATATATCGATGTATACAAATAGGAAAGCTGATGGAAGCCCTTGTTCAAGGCTAGCGGTACCTATCTTAATCTTACTGTACTAATTATTCATTAGTATGTAATTAGGGACATTAGAAATATAAATGGGCATTTGTTAATCTTGTAGAGTTGAAAAGGGTCAGGGTGGGTGTTGTCCAATTAATAAAAAGAGAAAATGTGTGAAGAAGTTATTAGAACATGGGCTCTGGAATTGGCGCATCAAATATGGTTCATGTGGTTACCACGTGATGACGTGAATGCTGATTTCAGATGGTGTATCTAATGGGTTGTTGTTATATTATATATGGGGTCCACTAACATGCGCCAATGGATGGATGCTTCCATTTTATTTAAGGAAATGTGCACGTGGCAGTGGCCCCAGTGCCACAAGCAGAATGAATTAGAACTGTGGGCACAAATACAATCCTGCCATGGTCTTCGAACTAACAGTTCAACAAGACGTGAATCAGTTGACAAAATTTCATGGTCAATGAATCATTATCATTTCAAGCGTAGTTATTCCTCTGCTACCCACTAAAGACTGAAAAGCCCAGCCCGGCCCGGCCAGGACCAGGAGGCAGGAGCTAGCTGAACCACCGACCACAACTCGACCATTGCGTATTTGCGCGCAAGGTGGAGAGCACCAAGTTGGGAGATGTGAATGAGTGTGGGGAGTGGGGAGTCCGCAAGGGGAATGAAGTTGTGTTTTTTTTTTTTCGCAGTTGTGGTTGTGGCCTGTGGGCATTGCATAATGCATGCAACCTTTGGGCTGGCATTAAAATTGTCGTCTTCTTATACCCAATTTGTTCTGTTACCAGCCAAGGCACGTGCTTTGCTTTACAATCTGCAGTACTCAGCGCATGAGCATCTGCTGCGAGGTGTATCTGTGTGTGTGTGAGAGAGAAAAAAAAAAAGAGACAGGGTGGCCGTTTGGGGTGTGAGTGTGACAGTGGTGGACAAAGAAAAGAATAACATGTGGATGTGGATGGAAAGTTGGAAATCTAGGTGAAGATGGAACGAGCTAGTTTAATTAGATAAAGAGAAGAACACAGCTTTGTGCTTTGTGCTTTGGCTGTGCACTGGGTCCTCTTCCCTTATATTTCATATTTTCAAAAAAGAAAAAAATTCTATGACCTAATATCATTTCGAGGAAATCGGCTTAATTGGTTTGGTCGAATCTTTACATCTAATATTCGCTAATTCTAATCCATTCTATATATAGTTGTCAGGGTTTTCATTATATAGATATTTAAATGTACAAACATGTATTTCCACGCTGTATACGCCTGTGACAGCATGGACTTTGTATACCTGAATAATTGAAATTAAATAAATTTCTTTAAATGTTCATTTTACTCATTTTCATGCAAAAAGAAAACTATTTTAGCTTTCATCTCTTTTTAGCTCCAATCCAGACTCTCAAGGCAACCCGCCCCACACATTGTTGTCCTTAATTACGGGTGCAAGTCGGGCGGGATGGTCGGGTGTGTGCTCAACCCATGCCCAATCCGAATAATTGGGCCTAACGTCCCATTCTAAGGTGAAGTCAAAACAGTTCGACTCGGGTTCAGCTCACACCAAATTTTGATGCATTTCAATTGAGTTTGGGTTGGTCAATCATCCCAAGCTAAAAATTGAAGTAGTTTGCATATATCTTTGGTTTACCAAAAAAATAGTATGTTATATATATATGCAAATATGCATTTATATGTATACATATATCTCAGTCGGGTTAGGCTTGGGTTGAAATAAGGTCAGGGTGGATTTGGCTAACCAAGGGTTAGGCCTTAGCCCATCCCAAAAAATATAAAATCCTGAACTTTTGGGCCAAGGTCCAACCTGCGGACCAAAATTTCAAGCCCAGCCCATATAAAATTACGGGATTGGTCAGTCCAGGATTAGATTGGGCCCACTCAAGTTGCACCCCTATCCCTAATTGCTTGGTACAATATCCTGAGATCAAGCTGGCCTTAACTCTGGGCTGGGCTGAAATGTTGCCACTCGGTACCAATCCTATAAGTGGTTTTTGAAATGAATAGTTTTCAAACCATTACATTGGTGAAAGCCTCCATAAATGTCGTTATTGATGTATTGTACAGGTTTTCCTACCATCAATAATGGTTTGATAGCTTTCAAAATATTATTAAGTTGTACAGTTTCTCTATCTTTCTCTTCCTCTCCCCTTTTCTTTCAAACCAAATACAGCTTCGCTTGCATTGAAATAAATTAGGTTTAAAATATGAATTGTAATTAGGGTCCATTCATGGCACCTTGGCCATCTAACTTGAGGGGAACATTTCGTTGAATCCAGTGAATTGAACCACTTTAACAGATTGCCTATTTCAAGAATCAGCCTCAAACAAATTGCATTTATTTCTATGAATAAAAGAAGAATATTTGAATAATGTTAAGGAACGCCTCGATCATTCTTGCAATCGGATGGTTAAAATCAATTTTCCCGTTGTGTCTGTCTTCTGCAATTGGGATGATGCTTATGTACAAATTTCAACTTCATCAATATCCTCCAACTAATTATTGGAACAACAAAAGAAAAGAAAAAAAAAAAAAAACCTCAAGATAGCCTGATTCCGATCCTTCAATTTTCTTTTTAAAAAATCACTTGTCAACCTTCTAGTTCTGGGCCAATCTAGCCAGCCTTCTTAGAACAACTCATCACTTGGTGCACGCATTTGGACACTCGGGACTCGGGTGCGAAACGTCCAAACTGTTCAACACTGTCACTCTCTCATGATCACATTAAACGGAGAAACTGAAAGCGAGCGGCCTTCCTTTTTTTTTTTTTCTTTTTCCTGCTATGGAAGCCCAATATGGGTTTTGTTGTTACTCTACTCATCGTAAGAAAATTGCTTTCTTTCTGTTTTCTCAACGTGGTGGTGGGTGGTAGGTCGAAGTTACGTTGGATGCAAATGCAAGAAACAATTTACTTTTGTTCTCTTCTTGTTCATCTATGACTATGACTATTCCTGTGGATTGTTCGCTTCCAAAAAAATCCTGTAGATTGTTTGATTTTTTGTTTTGTGTATCAGAAAAACGCTGTGTATGCCTTTTCTTCTACGCTTTCAGCCAAGTTTTCCTTCTACATATGTCTAGTCTTCCAATTCTGGAAAGAGGAAAAAGAAAAAGAAAAAAAAAAAAGTGATGATAAGATTGGACCAGACAGTGGATGGCCGAATGGGACTGAATTGGGACTGGACCCACCCATCGGTTCCCCTTGATAGCAAATTATTAGGACCACGAGCAACATTGTTTAACTCAACAAGCAATATGATCGAAGCGTGCCTGGTCTATTCAGCTGCGTTAGCATGGACGTGGGGTCTCATCTATGTCTTTTTATTGGTACATTTCGTCTATGTCAGGCCAGCGAAAAACTATGATTCGTTATTGCTAATTGGTGCAGTGCTATCTATGTCAGGCCACCGAGAATCCATGTTCCATTATTGTTTATTGGTGCAGTTAAATATATATTTTCTACGTCTGTTGCTCACAGAAGACCAAAGTCAGGGGACACTCACAAAGTAGAAGATTAACGGACAGACGAATTCACCCATCTTATGTAATGCAGCATTTTAATTTATGTTGTCAAAATGCGATAGCTCTTATAACAATAGAGAACCCACCCTCGTTATGATATTACTCTTTTCATTCTTTGTGAGGAGAATTAAGCATCCATTTGTGAGGAGCAGATCCGCACTGGAAAGACAAATACAAAGGAGATGTTCCCAATGTGGGACTGTAGTGGTTTATCGGCACACTGTTGGGAGCATGCATGGTACTGGAAAGTAATTTAGTGCTACACACGCACGTTGTATTGTGCATCTATGTATAATCCAAAAGGAACAAAACCCTACCTCCATTTCGCTCCATATGGTGAAGGGAGGCCGCCAATGCGATACTGACGGTGTCACTGACATTGCCATTTGCCAATGGCTCACAGACGTTCTTGGTAGGTGAAACCAACATCCAGTAACCCCTCTGTTTGAAATTCTTCCCAAAGAAACGACCCTTAACCCAAACGGGATTTCCTACCCAACTCCCCTTAACCACTTCTGTCTTCTTGATTTTCTTGCATAGAAGAATTTTTTACCTCCGTTTTTGAGTGATTTTTAGGAATTCTTTTACATAAATGTTAGGAAGGATTTGGGAGTTATTTACCTGTACCTATGTCTTTTGAGTGATATAAGACTATGGTTGGTGGATCTTTCTTCTCCCTCTTTGCATATTGCCTCTTAAGTGATGCTTATCTTCAACCCATAATAGGGTACAATCATGATCTGAGCCATATGGGCTTTTCTAAGCAAAAATGGGCTCAATCTTCAATCCATAACCCCCAAACCCCAAGTCTCCGCTACAAGCCTACAACTAGCAGAACCTTACCAACCAGCCAGTTTGCACTTTGCGGTGGTAATATATGTCTTTTTGTAGTGGCAATATTTGTTCTTTTATGAGCCTTACGGTTGTATTTGTTTTCAGTGTAAATGTGAATCGACACAAAATTCCACCGTCGATTTGTATTTACCCGTACTTGTTTTTAGTGCAAAATTCCACCATCGATTTGTATTTACCCATATTTTCATGCACCCATCAGCTGAGTTTCCATCGGTAATCGATATAAATTATATATCGAATTTATCAATATGCTTTTATATCAATTATCACGTCTAATAATGTTCCAATGGTTCATAAAATTTTAAATCGTCAAATTTGAATTCCATCAATTGAATTTTAAATTTATGGAGTTTACACCAAAAATAAACGCAGCCACAAGTCGTAACCTCATACATCTGGAAGACTATAAATGGGGTTCAGCTGTTCTGGGACCCATGAACATATTCCAGTCGCGGTGATTCATGCATTTTTAAATGCATACAAAAAGCAAATCTGTATGTTTAAGAAGTTAAAATTGCTCAGAGCATGCCCCCATTTATCAAATTAAATAAGGAGACACCCAAAATCACAACGGCTATGTTTGGTTGTAGTGCAATTTTATTTGCACTAACATAAATGCATGGGAGTGCAAATGAAAAAAAAAATAGATTCTGGTTTAATTTTGCTTTAGGTTTTACTTTATTTTGCATCATATTTTATTTTATTTTATTTGTAATGCAATCAAAT